TGATTTTTTCCCCAAAATTTTGCTGCAGCGGGGGGGGGGGAAAGGGGGAGGGAGGTCGTCAGGATTTAACTATCATTTTCAACTATCGGAAATAGTAGTTGTATAGATCTTTGGCAGTCCCTCTCTCAACAACGGCCAAATACGACCCCCTTCCCTTTATAGCGTCCGTGAAACAAGAGAAATCAACTACCAAAAAATTTTCTCAGACCAAATACGACCCCCTCCCTCGCGGTCAAATACGACCCCCCCCCCGTTGTGATCATCACAACGATGGCGTGCCCTGCCTTTTCCTGCTAACCATATTACGAGACCAGGCAAGACTACACGCTCCAGCTCGTTGCTTGCTGCTGCAAAATAAAACTCCCAAAATGTAAGCCGCTTTAGCTCTGTGTTGCGTGCGCAGCCAGAAGAGTAATATGGGACCAATTGAACAAATGAGGCTTACCGAAAGCTATAGTATACTCATTTATTTGTTCGATATCAGATTTTGCATTTTGGAAGTTATCACAAGAATGCTGGGATGCTGGCAGATGTCCTGACCCAGGGATATTTAACCCGCATTTCACGCTCTTTGGGCGAGTTCCTTACTCTACCTAGAACACCGGAGAATCTGTGGTTCGCGAAAGCCAGCTGAATCAATCCTTCTCTAAATTTTTGTCGTCCACTCTACCTAACGGGGATTTCCAGATCGATTTCTTTACTTTCCTTTGCGCCCTTTCCCTTTAGCCCATGAACAACGCCCCATTCGTATGAGCACTATGACATCACACCCGTTCACATGAACCTTGGCAGAAATATAACTTCGGGGGGGAAAAAATGGGGAACTTGGAAAAAGATTCGAAAATTCCGTTATTAGTATCAAAAATCTACATTTCGTCTGTCATACAAAGAATAGTTACAGACTGATACAAAAAAAATGTAAAACATACGGTGAAACTATTGCTCTTGCTATACCCACACGATCGCCAGCGGCATCTAGCCATCGACTGATTTGACGATCCAGTTCTTTGGGGTTACTGGAATACCATGACCCTGCAAGAGAACGATTTCCAGGCTATTGTAAGAGTGCGTTCATAGTTTGCGAGAGCGTTTCGGGCGTTCGGAAGCGTTTCGAGCGACTAGCAAAGTATACGATCGATCTAGCGTACACAAGCATAAGGCAGCGTTTTGAGGGACTACGAAAGAATAGGTATATCGATCTAGAGTATGCATGCGTCTGCCAGCGTACGAAACGAGCGTTTTCGCGGACTGTTCAAGCTTCAGGAAAAATACCGCGAAAACGCTGGCGTACGCTACATCGATAGCTAAACTTTCTTAGTCGCACGAAACGCTGCTGTACACTGGCGTGCGCCTAGACGTTGACGCAAAATATGAACGCAGCTCAAAAAAATGAGGAAAACTCACAAAATAAAAACTCTATTTTGCGGGAAATCGAATCGGAACGGAACGGGGAGTGTTGGGTTTCAGGGTGGGGAAAGAAAAAGAATAAAAATTGCTTGCAATGCCTGAATACGATACCTGCATGTGAAGCTGCACGAGCCATTCCATGACCATAGCCATTCGTCGACATCTTCTCCTCGTCTGATTCTTAAAAAGCATCAACATGAAAACGTCAAGGGCAATAATGCGAAACCCCTTACGAGTGCTATGGGAGGTAAACAGCTAAAATCTTATGAAATCAGCTTAATAAATAAATAAAACCTCTAGGAGGTGTAAGATATCCCCCATAGAAACCATTGTAAGCGTTAGTTCATCAAGGAAATGCACGCATTCGGGTAATATTCACTCCGATAGTTTTTTATTCGCGCTCTCTCCGCTTGCTGATATCAATCGTTTCTGCTCATAAAACTGACAACGAGGCGTTTTTCTTATGACTACCACTGCTGTATAAACAATTTCTTCGGATCTTTAATATGCAATGTCAATACCAATCCAGATCGATAATAAAAAAACAAAATGACGCGGCAGCTCGCAGATAGCTCTGTTGCGTGATATTGAGATAGATGAAAATGACGTTTACATGCCGAACGCATGCAGCTCCTCTCACGCTCACGTGGAACAATTCTCCGTCATATTAGTCAAGTCCAAGATATAAGCGGCATAAGGAAAAAGATAAGGGACAATTATGGACGCTAAACTAGTTAGGAGGGACCATTTACCGCGCCTCAGTATCCTCTCATCAAAAAGGCCTAGGCTTAGGGTTCAAACCACCAGAGCTGACGGGGATAGCCCCACAGACAATAGATGGTCTCCGCTGAACCTGTGCCTTGATAAAAGGAAGAGATATTGAAGCGCAGGCGATTGCTCCACCACCCCCCCCCCAACTACGTCTAACTGCTCAACACAGTTGTTTTCCGAATGTTAGAACATTATGGATGCACAGCTCTCTGTAT